TGATGCCAGGGACTTAGGTGGAGAGCAAATGTTTTGAGAAAGATGAGGGCAAAGAATGTACAAACGTGTTTTTACACAATTGATGTATGTACAGATTGTGATAAGAGATGTATGAGCCCCTAATAAAATTATTTTTAAAAATTAGCTATCAAAAAAAAGACAGTCACTGAAATAATAATTACCTGGGGTAGTAGGAGAAAGGGGAAGTCAATAGCATTGGGTACAAGAAGGAAAAAATGTTCTAAGCTTGATGCACAGCCCTTTTTAAAGTGATTAAACTATTGAATTGTATGATGTGTTAATTATACTTCAATACAACTAATTTTTTTAAAAGAAAACTTTCTTGGGGTTTTGAACAATAGAGTTTCTGGTCCAAGGTCCCCCATTGGGCATTCCCAGACCTTCGCTCTCTATATTCCACTGAACAGTTAGACCTGTCTCCCCACCCTCAAACCCCAACTCTAACACATGAATGTCAGTTCAGTTGAATTAATTAGTTTAATGTTCCACAAATATATTTCCTAGACTTTTACCCTCCCCTTTATTATCTAGAATGTTCCATATTTCATTTTGAGAACCTGGTTCCTACTTCCTCTTCAAACTCTCTGCCCACCACTTTGCAAAGAGTCAAGTCTTCACCTGTCTTATGAGACACATCAGTAGAAGTAGAGGTTGTTACTGAAAGCTTTACTGGGTGCCTAGAACTCATCCTATTGCACATTATCCCCCTCAAAATAGTCACTGCTAACCTCCTAATAGCTGCAACATATGTAGAAACAACTGAATGCAGGAGGCATTAGGAACCTGAGAGTTTTGTACTTCTGTTTATGTATTTTTTTAAATCTTAATAGTTTGCTCTGGTTGGCACAAATGCTATAGAGTTTAGCTATTGACTTTAAATGATGTCCTTTTTTCTCTCAATATGTGTTATGTTTGAAATGGTATTGCTGCCATGGATCTCCCAGGTGGGGAGGCCATTCTTGGCAAAATCCTGAACACAGTATATTGTAGGATGTGAAAGAGGAAACCTCATATCTAAATGAGAGTAGTACCTTATGCTTTATCGACTACAAAAGGGTTTCAGGTAATAAATCAAAGACATTCTCTGGGAAGTGCAAAGAGTTAAACACCTGGTAGCTAACAGTTGCTAACGCTGTCTTCTTGCCCCATCTTCTTCTCCCTCTTCACAAAGCACTATCCTATTAAAGTCGCGCTCACAAACGTGCCCCCCAGAAAGAAATGGAAATGCTTGCTTCTCCCTACTACCGTAGTTTGGTAAAGAGTCCCCAGATCGCAGTAAGCAGGGTGGATGTGTTGACACTGGTAGGCTGGTTGGACTCTTGTCTTTGGGGAACTGCTGTCTCACCCAACAGTTAGACTCTGCTGACTGCTACTCCAGTCCGACTTCAGAACACACGCTCTCAGCTTTGACTTACATTTTCCATATTGATTTCCTAGCCTAAGTTGTGTCCTTTGCCCTTCTTTTTTTCTTTTTTCTTTCTGTAATTTAGTGGCATTTTCAACACTGGACTTAAAGTATTTCCTGACCTGACCAAAGTGTATTCCACGGACGTATTCTTTATACTGTAAGTAGATACGCGTGCGGTGTTAGCAGTGGTTTGTTTGTTTGTTTGTTTGTTTGTTTGTTTGTTTGGGTCATTGGCAAGTACGAGGGTGTGGCCACAAGAGTTAGTGGAAGCCAATTAGGCAGATGTTTCAAAGAGGAAGGTGTGTTCAGTCAGGACAAACGCCCTGATGGATGAAGGAAGGCCAAGATCGAGAAAGGAACCTTGGACTGAGGTATGAGGAGCGTTGGTGGTTCCGAGAGGAAAGCTCCAGTGGAGTGCTGGGGGTGGAGGAGCCTGGTTGGCCGAGGCTCTCACGACAATACCAGGGAGAACTTTCTAGAGAGTGGCCCTAGCAAACACTTGAGAAGGTTATTATAAAAGGGAAGCAGAAAAGGTTTCAGTAGTTTGAGGAGGATATTGAGTCCGGAGGAAAAGTGTTTGCGAGTTTTTAATCAAAGAAATTAGGGCATGTGTGTTTGCTGGTGGAAGTGATTGAATAGATGGGAAATTTAATGATGAGAATGATTAGTACATATTTTTCATATGACCTTTAATAGCATTGGAAACATATTCACATGCCTTATCACCTTTGTTTCTCCCAACCACATTATAGTCAAAAGTGAAGCTATTTTTTCCATCTGACAAATGAGGACAGCACAATCCTAAGGAGCACTCATAGTGATGCTTAGGATGCCACGTGTTGAAAGCCACGTGTTCCTCACCCAATCTGTTAGCACAGGTGAATTGTCCTACTCAGTCACACCCACAGGGGTCCCTGTGAGTTGGAATAAGGAGCCGTGGTGGCGTAATGGCTATGACTTGGCCTTTGATCCACAAGGTGTGCAGTTCAAGACCACCAGCCTCTCCGTGGAGAAAGAGTTACAGTCCCATGGGGGCAGTGCTCCCCTGCCCCGCGGGTTTGCTGTGAGTCAGCATGGACGCGATGAAATTGAGTCTGATTTGGTTTCATGAGTCGGAGTCGACTCCATTGCAGTGAGTTTGGGTTTTGGTTTAATCGTACAGAAAAGACATCCTCAAAGAGAGTCGCAGGTGTAGTTAGCACTGTGGAGTTAGTGGGGGTGGGTGGGGGGATCCAAATTCTGGAGTTTATGCCAGAACAAAAAGGCATCGCACTTCTTTGCTACAGAAGCACTCGACTCAAAATATAGGCTGTTTTCCAGAAACTAAACCAGGACAGAAACCATTTGCAGGAGCATCTGCCTGCACAAGTAGAGGACTTTTAAGCCACGCTCTTGAAATAAAATCCATCCATGCCTAGTTTTGAACCGTCTTAGAGATCTCCTATGCTTAGAATATTCTCGTTACTGTAGACAAAGTGTGTGTGTGTGTGTGTGTGTGTGTGTGTGTGTGTTGCAAATTCAGAGGCTTCTGAGGCCCGCCTGCTCCTCTTGTAGATAAGGATTAAGCCAGGCACCTCAGCCCACATCCACATCTTACTCGATTGAGGCACAATTGGGGCCCTGGGTGCCTGGCACTGAGGATAATGGATGGCACAACTCCATCGGACTTCTGAGACCCCGGTGGCTAAGAAGTTGGGTGAATCTTGAAAAGAGATAAGATGTTTTAGATATTGTGTATGGTTAGTTATTTAAGTGCATATGTTCAACAAGAGACCTAAACTGGATAAAGTATTGTTTTCTCCAAATATGTATGTCCCTTTCTCTTGCAGTGAAATCACAGACAATCCTTACATGACTTCAATTCCTGTGAACGCTTTTCGGGGACTGAGCAATGAAACCTTGACACTGTAAGTATTACCAGTGGCGCGCAAGCCAACCATTGTATTCTTAGTTCAGTCACGAGGACATTCTCACAGGCCATCCCAGAACTATAGTGCCATTGTGGGGTAGGCATTGAGTTGCTCACCACAAGGTCAGTGGCAGTCCATAGCCACCAGCCCCC